TGGGTGCGTTCTAGCTATTTGCATAGAGTGGTGAAGAGAAGGCTTAACAATTATGGCAGTGATTATTATCAGGTTGCCAGGGCTAGATCAAATCTATTTTGACCACTTGATGCGTTGGAAAGAGCCCCGAGTAAGGCTCTTGTGATGCACAGACTCTTCAACGCGTCGGATGACTAAGGTCCTTCTATGTTTCAAGGAATCAATCCCACAAATTACCAAAAAGAAAAAAAGGAATCGATCTCATATGATACAATCATTTATCAATAATTTCAGATTTTCCAAATTAAATACAATCCTGAATCCCATTGTTCACGAGTTGGAGGTATTTCTTTTTATTATTACCCGAGTTTTTAATATTTTTTTATTTTTAGATTTAAATTGATTTTTTATTTTTTTTATGTGTTAATATTAAAAATATTTTTTAAAAATATTTTTAAATAAAAAAACTTAAAAAATAATTACTTTCAAAATATTTCCAAAAAAATTATGCTTGTCCGGGTTAGTGCAGACCCCCACAGTTAGCAGGCAGGTAAGGCAGCGCGGGGCTGACAGGCATGCAACTCCAAGGCTCGAACCCCCGTGACAGCAGAAGGCGCAAGGCGCCGGATGATTTAATGTGTCTATGGCCCGACATCATCCATAGGCCACGCCCTCTTGTTTTTCAATGAATTTTTAAAAGTGCAACAAAAATGCCACCGCTGGGCCGGTGCCTTGGGTGCAAACTTATTGAAATAATTGAATCACTAGTCAATTTAAAATTTTAATTAGATCACCTAAGTTTTTGAATAAAAGAATTTGTTTATTACAAAATAAACTATTAATTAACTATAATCAAGTTTTAAATTAGAACTTATTGAAATAATTGACTCATCGAGTCGATTTAAAATTTTAATTAGATCACTTAAATTTTTATTTTTTTATTTTTAAATTTTATTTTATTTTATTTTAGATTCTAAATTAATTTATCAGATCAAATCAAGTTTTAAAATTATAATAAAAAATTTATTTTTTAAAGTGTATTTTTATAAGATATATTAAATATTTTTTAAATTTTTTAAATTTATTTTAATTTTCTTCATGTAAAAACAATTGTACAAAAAAACAATTTGATACTAAAAAGATTAAAAATGTTGTAAAGTACAGTTAAACGGAAATATCAAACACTTGCTTGCTTAGTGGACATGTACGTACGGGGACATAAAGCTGGCCTCCACTTTCAATCCACAGTCAACAATAACCTACGCATCTCTGGCATTGGTTAAACGCAGAGCTTTAAATTGGAGGCCAGGTCACACCGGCCTCCAAATGTCTGCAGTCAGTCTTGTATCTGCATTTCATTAAAGACCATCCGGCCTTGTCTTAGGGTTTCTTTCTCTTCCCCTTCCCTTTTATTTCCCCTCTTATTGAGGTTATTTTTAGTTTTTAACACTATTTTAAAAAATTATTGTTAAAATAACACTTTAAACTCATTACAGTATCATTATTATTATAAAAAATATTCCAACCAAATAAATTTAATAATATCAAAAAATTAATAATTTAGCTGGATCACACTTATTATCTTTTATAATAAAAGGTAACTTAATTATCTTTAATAATGAGTATGATCTACTTAAATTATTATTGATAATATTTTTTTATGTTGCTAGATTTATCATATCAAAATCTTTTTTATAGTAATAGTTATATCATACTTGAAGAGCTTTAGTGTGTCCAAAATCTTTTTTTTAATCTCTCATCTCTTTTGCTGACATCATTATTTTAATTAACAATACATTATAAAAATTATTTCAATCATAATATTTATAAAGTATTTTATTTTATCAATTTTTATTTAATTATATTATTCTGCTAATATTTTTAATTAATTGTGCTGATCGTACGAAAAAATCTCTCGTTCAAGTAATTTACCATTTGCCAATTGGCACTTAGTTAGTTGGCCTTAATATTCCTCTGCTCAGAGAGCGAGAGCGAGAGCGAGAGCGAGTGACTTCTCTGTCTCTTGACAAGCATTTCTTAAATGAGCAGAGGATAATTTCTAGTTATTTTTACAAGGGGCATGCTAGCGGTAGTCACTAAGTGAGTCGCTATCGACACTTGCTTCAAAAATAAGCCATGCTGCCAATAAAAAAAATACATCAAATATTATATAGTTTCGTTATTCTTTTTACTTTATTTTTGTATTTTAAAAAAATTATACTTTAAATTTAATAGTTTATAAATTGTATAACACTTCACATCTATTCAAAAAAATGAACAAAAAAGCTAAAATTACATTTACAACAGAAGTTGAAAGGGTAGCCTAATAAGAAACTCAATTTGCGAAAAACAATCCAGTCCAAACTCACTCATTATCCCAATTTCCTGCAACTGAAAAGCTCACACCCTCTCCCTCCATTCCCTTCACACTCACGCTTACACACAAGTGTGACACACTCTTCACTAACTCGTCTATGCCACGGTGTGGAGTCGTCAATTCCAAATCACACCCATGTAAAACCTCCTCGGGCCCATTCAATTTGCATGTTGAGCCACAACGGGGCCGACCTACAGAGTCACGACCGATTTGAGAGCCCTAAGGCTGCCGAGGTGAGGGTTTGGAGGGAAGGAGTTGAGAAAAGGTGTAGAGGAAATAAGACATATTGGGGTTGAGGAACGGGACTGGGTGGTTCTCTAAGAATATGGCGGCGTTAAGGGGGTGCGTTGTTGGAGAGTGATGGATTTGGAGATTTGATTTGAAAACTCTAAATTGATTTTCATTTGTCATGGAATTCTAATTGAGAAGGGAAGAGAATGAATAAAGAAACTGACATGGTATACGTGTGTTTGTGTTGTATTGTACAAGGATAAATTTATCTTTTATTTTATTTTAAATTTTAATTTGATCAGAAATATAAATTGTAATTTCTTAAAATTAAAAAATTAAACTAGAGGAGACTCAGAAATATAAATTGTAATTTCTTAAAATAAAAAAATAAAATAAAAAAATTAAACTAGAGGAGAATGTTCCAATTTTTCTAAAAAAATATATCAATCCAGTTAAATAAATGAGATATCATTCTAAAAACATTAAAAATATTGACAAAAATAGTGTCAGAAAATGTTTTCTTGAAACATTCTAAAAACGTTTACATGGAAATTTTTTACAATATTCGATAAGTAATGATGAAAAAAAATAATAGCATTAAAATAATATTTTATTGTAATAATAAGATAGTTATGGTCATGGTTGCCGGAGGAAAGGGGGGTGTTGTTGAGGACAAGGATGGTGGTTGCTGAGAAGTAATGGCAATGGTATAACGATGGAATTGAAAGGGACGAGGATGGGGTGGTGGAGTATTATAATGGTGATGATGATAAACATAATTTTAATGATTGAAATTATTAAATGATATTAATATTTATAAAATATTTTATAAAAATATCTTGATAAGATAATGGTAATTGAAATTGTGAGGCTGGTTAAAATTTTTAGATAATATTATAAATGAATTATTAGTAGTAAATGTTTTACAAGTTAAAAATAATTTTTGAAATTGAACTAACTTGACATCGATCAAATTTTTTATAAAAAAATTAAAAAATATATTCTTATAAAATATTTTATACAATATAAATTGCCTCCGAATAAACCAAAAGCATAGTTTACCCAAAATTATTTGATAGGGCAGCGAGCGAGGACTGCAGTGGTTCGAAACCGTAGCGGCTGCTGGACCTCGTGCCACTCTTGTTGCAATGCTCTTCACAACAATTGGTACTCAATCCAAAACTGGACCTGCGTCCTCAAAAAACTTCATAATCAGGGCTTAGCCCTTTGGGATCCACTTGCTTCCAATGCATGGGCCACAGGAATGTAAGGCGTGCGATTCCAGATTGAAGCTCGAAACTATCGAGCCTGGTCCATATATATAGTCTTGATCATCTGGACGGAACCCGAACACTAGAAGCACTCTGAAAAGTGAAAAGGCTTTTCTAGGATGTACTTCATGAGCCACCCCAAGGAGCCTGGGTTCCAACTTCCTGTCAAAAACAAGCACAACGATA